TTTCTCTTTCTTTCTTTTTGGTGACGATCCTCCTCGTACCTTTATGTGTATATATATATATAAATATAAATCGCTTTACGACGGGGGTGTTTCGTCCTAATTGATAGAGAGTGAGCGCCTGCTGGCTACTGTAAAGATTACAAATCTCTAAAGTCGCCGCCAACTAACGACACAACAAAAAAAACAAAAAAAAACAACAACAACGAAATTCCATAGATTACCGTGATCTCTCGCAGCAAACAAATTGTTTTTAATTGTCAAATTAAACAAAACACTCAAAAACAAGAACGAAACGCTTTCCGTTTCTCGAATGTTATTGCGTTCGCACGCAAAAGCGAAGAGAGTAGTTAACATTACAAACTTCTCGAGAACGCCGCAAATAATTGCAACCGTTTTTCATTCTCTCTCTCCTCCTCTTCTTCTCTTACCAATAACCGTCGCGGCAGTCCGAGTAATTGGATTACTACTTAAGTCCACTCATTTGTTTCGTTTCGACGTTATTTTGTTTTCTCTTAGTCTTCTTATTCTTTCTCATGAGGGTTGAACGAGAAGCGTGAAGTCGATCCCGATTTATTGCCAACCCATTAATATCGAAAGACCCCATAGAATTAATACAAACTGAACTAGAAATAAAGCAAGCAAGAAACGGGGGAGGGGGTGGATTTGTAAGGGACGAAAGAAACGAGAGAAATAATAAAAAAGAATAAAAGTCCACTTAGCTACCGTCCAATAATTAATTTATTGCACTTCTAAAACGTCATTAATGAAACGAAAACGAAAAATAATGTTTCGCTTTTATCGCCCCGAAAAAAAAGGTAAATTTAATTGGCTTTTAGATTTGAGAAGAAGGCTCATTCATTTTATTTTATTTTGTTAATTTAATAGTGTGCGTGGCATCGCGAGAATATAAACTTCTTTACTATTTTTGTTTTTATTAGTCGTCAAGGAAACGGTTCACTTTTAACGGTTTCTCTCTCTGTATCCATCTCTGTATCCATCTATATATCTTTTGTTTATTCAATTCGAGAAACAAATGCAAGCAAGCAAAGCAAGCAAATCGATTGTTTTATTTTAGTCTCTCTGTTCTAATTTCGAAAGGTATCTTCATGCAATTATCACTCAATTAGGGTTTTTAATGTAAAGTATTTTAGGTATGCACGAGAAGAGGAGAGTCCTATTTTTGTCTTGAGTAAATAGAGTTTCCAAGTCTATTCGTGGCGGCACTCTCGGGGTGAAGAAAGTTTTAATGTTAATTTTTCTCATCGCATCTCATCTCATCCTCTCAGCAGACTTATCTTTGAGCTTCAGAAATGAATTAGTCTTCAATTCAAATCGGTTGCATTTGTTTCTTAACCAAAAAAACAAAAACAAACGTTCGCACACACATCTTGTTGATTGGGTTGTCAAGGTAACTTGAGATTTAGGTGGCTTTTCCTAATCGATGCTCATTTGTTGCTTCCACGATCACTCTTCATTCTCTCGATACCTCACACAACACAACCCTCCTTCCTTTCCTCTCCCATCCCAAGCACACTAAATCTCCGATGACGTTATTGTTTCTGTCACTTTGGCACACGTGTTTTGTTTTTACTCTGCGGACAGATTTATTCGCTCCACTGGGGGTTGCTCTGTCTTCCTTCTCTCTCTCTTCCCCCTTCGTTCATTCATTCATTCATTCATTCATTCATTTACTCTTCGCTCCGAAATTTCCCTTCGGAGATTTGCAGTCCGTTTCCGGGTAAACCACCCACGACCGATGACACAACAAATGCATCTATCTCTCTCTATCTCTGTATTTTAGTCATTTGTTTTCGAAATGCAACGCGAAAGAGAAGCACGCAAATTAGACGCGACGCGTTTGTCAAACGTTTCCCGTTGTCAAGGGTGATGAAAATGGTGTCGAGTTGGCGGTGGCGGTGGGTGGGTGTTGATGTTGTAGGGGGTTTCGGTTGCCGTGGATGCGATTTTCGGGGCTCGTGACTGGCTGGAATGCTCATTTTCTCATCAGAACTAAATCGGCCGGAAAATAGCGGCGCGACTATTTATTGCGGCCCCGTTGTCAACCCCCGCGGAGAGTTATTGTTGTTAGCAACAGCATCCCCAACCCCTCACCCCACCTCTCATTCCCTCTCATTCCACCACCAGTAAATTGCGTGCAAAAGCTAAATCTCGATTTTTCATTTTATTCCTTTCTTCCTTCATTCCTTCTTTTTTTGTTGCGAATGCTTTTAGGGTGGACGTGAAACACCCTCCTCTCTTCATGGTGTTATTTCTGGTCCATCCATCCATAAAGGAGGCCGCAGTACTCACTAATTTTTATTACTCTCATCCGTTTTTACATCATTTAACCTCTTCTCCTATCTTCCTATCTTCCCATCTAAATTCCGTTTCGTACCGTTTTTACAACGCTACCTGTGTGCTACCGAAAAGACAGATGAATCAACAGCAACTACAAAAAAAAAATAAAAACAACTTCGAACAAGTGAACGACGAAACTGGTCGTAGTCGTTAATTGTTTTGTTGCCCTCTTCCGAGGGTGCCCTGGCAACCCGATAGCGTTTTGTTTTCGGTACGCAGTGTCAAAACAAAGTTTATCTCTCAAGTGTCTCCT